TAATCTAACTACTTACTCTGAAGACTAAGGAATGTAATATCAGAAGGATATTTTTTCCTAACACAGAGCAGTAGATCGGACCATAAGAGAGCAAGTGTTTTGATGATCCATGTCTAATTACTTTTAACGAATTAACGAATCATCTTTACTACGATAACTTGAAGAAAGCGGTTCAAGCAATGCAAATCAAATGGTGACGAAAGTTGTTTTATAAATATTTGACAAATTATTTCGCTAAACAAGTTCCAACTGATCCATTAGTCATATTCCAATCGCATTTAGTTAATTTTAACGTGAAAATGGCGTAGAATTCAAGAAATCTATTTTAGGATATTAACGTAATTTTTTTTATCATTTGTTCAATGAATCATTAATTCGGTAATTTCTTTAACTAGAAGGAACAATCAAGTTATTACTTGCTAAAAATAAAGATAACAACATGATTTTTTTCCCTAAATAGCATGTTTTTGTTGTAAAATAATATTTTTTAGATTACATGGTTGGTACGACTCTAATTATAATATAAGGCAATCAAAAAAAAAAAAAAAAAAAAAAAAGAAAACTCTTTATTTCCGCAATGTACACAATATACCAATCTTATTCGTCATCAAAATTAGTTGCCTATGTTTTAACAGTCATGACTATCCTCACATTTGTTATTTCATTAATGACAAGCTTTTTAATATATTCGATTTACATTAATTGGTCATCGATCATACAGCTCGTACAACTTGAATTATTATCAAAACCTATAATAAGCGGAAATCTTGGATATCTTAGAAGTGAAGCTATCATGGTTTACTTATAAATTCAAAAATGGAAAAGGAATAATAATCATTATTTGTACATGGTGGGTTGTGAGGTGACAAACAAAATAGAGCGAACATGGTATTAATAAAATTAGTAAAATTTTTGAATATTTGTTTTATTATTATAAAGATTTACTTTACTATACATTCAGAAAAAAAAATACGAAAAGAAATATATATATATTTCTAACAATAATCACTGACATCCCTAAAATCGGGCATAAGTTCTAAATTATTAAAAGCAGAATCTTTATGAAATTCATTAGGATCATAATCATCGCTTTCACCATACCAATTACTAAATTCTTCATATTCAGGATGATTTTTATCTTTTATGATTTCTTTAAACCTTTCAAAACCATCATAACCACCAATATCTTCAGGAGGGCATTTACCTCTACCTCTCAAACATTTTGGATATTGAGTACTTTGTTTACGATCAAATACACCTTCATATGTAATAATATGTTCCCATGAATCTCCTAAATCATATTCATATTCCATTATTTGTCCTTTACTATGAAAGTAATCTTTGAGTAGGCTTGTTTTTTCTTCTCGTACTTCTGGAAAATCGAGATAATTTATATCAATGTGAGGGTTACCATATTCGAAACCTTCTTGTGTACGAAATATATGCATATGACAATTCTATTATCGTAAAATTAAAAGGTATTATTAACAACGAATCGAGTATGATCAAATCATAAATCGATCCCATTAACTTACAAGCCATCCCATGCAACATTGAATTGCTAAATGAAAATGAAAAAAGGTGTAATCATATGGTACTTGAATACGACGCCAAACTGCCGGTATTCTTATATGTTTTAATTGAATTTTAAATTCAAGAACTTGACTGTAATCATCATTATTGTATCTTGTGGTCCTACGAGTTACAAATGAAGATGGTGTAGAACTTCGTAAAGTTAAAGGTGGTGTTTGTAAGTTACTGGTTGAAATGTTTTGTGCTTCTTGTCGAGTAGTTTGATGAGCATAAAAAGTGTTCATACTATCCATTACGAAAGGGTTCTGATAAAGTTGCATCATTATATAGAGTTGATACACGTGAAAAAATATTATTATCACAAGTTTAGCGTATTATTGTTATTATTATTATCATTATTATTATTTTATGTGTTATTATTGCTTGTCTCCTTAATAGAAGACATATATTGATTACCTTCAAGTAGCTTTCTCTATAATTACTTCTCTACAATTTTTTTTTTTTTTTTATAAAAATGTTTGGGGAGAACTTTTTTATCAAAAACTGTCTTTATATGATATTTCGTTGATTATTTCCAAGTCAGATATTTTACCATGTGTTATCTATGTCAAAAATTTCTGATTTGAATAGTCTGGTAATTGTTGTTATGACAATTAAGAGTACTTGTAAATTCGGTTTTAAAACAAAATTAATCGTCAACGGTTTACAATATCCGAATATATGGATGGGACGGGACGGAAAACTTGTCCTTATTTTGGTTTTACAACATCTCCTGGAACGAAAACACGAGATTAACTTCTTTTTTTGACGGGTTAACTTATGAAAGGCTTCTTTTGTTCCATTATATTTTTAAAAAAAAATTTCATTCTCTAATTTTTATTTCCATTATATTGTTACCACTAACAATAATGATAATCAAAATAATAGAAGGATAAGTGAATATGGAAAAAAAATTTTATTTTTTTCACATGATTTTATGATTTTGTGAAACTGTTTATACATATTTGACTTGTATCAATCAATTTTTTTTTTATTTCAAAGTAAAACTGCCTTTTTTCGATATTTTTATTTTATTGAAGTATAAAAAAAAGAAACTGAACTAATACGGTTTAACTGACGCGAATAAAACAATTTAGAAGTAATTCATTCTTTTATAAGTTGCATAATCCGATCATTTCTAGGGACAAGTTTAATATTATAATCTTCAGGCCAAATGGTTAATCCAATTATAGACTTGTTCAAATTAATTGGGATAGGTTTTCCATCTTCACCATTAGGTGAAGCATTTACAATATTAAAGCAATAAAGAATTCGTGACAAGATAGTAAATAATTCAGCTTCAGCCTAAGTAGGGAAATAAAAATAAAATTTAGAATCAAAAATCCTTATATTATATAAAAAAAAAAGTAAAATTATTACCAAATGAATTCCCGTACAAAGCCTTTTCCCTGCTCCAAAAACGAATGTGTCTCTCTTTTCAGCAGGTCCATCAGCCAAGCTAGCCATACTTTGTTGTTCATTGATAAATCGATATGGATCAAATTGCATGGGATTTTTATGACGTTGTTCATTGGTTGCAATTGCGTGACAGTTAATAAATATTGAAGAATATGCTGGAATATGATAACCATTATATTCATCATCTATTTCATTAGCATGTTGAACTCCCAACCAAGTTGGTGCATATATTCTTAGACCTTCCCTAATTAATGCAAGAGTAAAGGGAAGCTTTTTAAGATCAGCGTAAGTTGGGAGTCGATCATTTTCAGGAATGAGTGCTTCAAGTTCTTTGTGAGCTGGTTTTTGGAACGAGGGATTATTGGCCAAGAATGCTATTATCCATGTTAAACTTGCTGCTACTGTTTCCTAAATAAAAAAATATATAGTTATATACATATTATATTTTTAAAAAGGAGTCATAAGATAATAATATAGTTACCGTTCCGGCCAATACGAGAAACGCAAAAAGATGAACGATTTGATAATCTTCTAATTCCCCTTTTTCATAAACTTCTCTTGCAGCACATGGAGTTTTATTTTTTCCTGATTTAATATCTTCCAAAAGGTCACCAAAAATTGAATCAATATTATCTCTAATAGCCGTCGCCAACTGTAAATCAATAACAATATGGTTAAATAAATAATCACGGGGGGGTTTTTTTTTTAAAAAAAAAAGGCATATTAAAAAGCGTTAGATGTAACCTGTAACGTTTTGTTTGGGAGGTATTGTAATATTGGGAAAAATTCCGTTCTTCTATGTTCATCCGCAAAGATTCCTATAAATTCGTCTACCCATTTGTCTACTCTTTTAAATAATGGATCATTAATACTTGTAGTATGAATTCCGAAAGTTACATCCAAAATTACGTTTAAGGTTGTACGATGAAGGTATGAACGCGGATTTAGTGGTTCGGGATTTGATAAAGAAGTGGAGGTATTAATCACATCTAAAAGCATTTCTTTTGTAATTTTATCGATTAATGGACTGTAAGTTTCGGTTTTCTTCAGCGAAAGAACTCCAACACCTATTATTGTTTTTCAAAAAAAAAGGTTTACTCGTTACCAGAAATTTAAAACGTCAAGATTATTTCAAATTATTTGATGATCACTACACTACTTACTTATCGCTTTAGCTTTCTTATAAAAATCGTTATCCGGACAAAACCCTATCGCGGATCCTCTTGTAAGTAGACGAAAATAAAGTTCCGAATCAAGTCTAGATGAGTAAATTGCTTCTCCTAAGTAAACAAAAAAAAAGATTCATTAAGATATCGATCACATGATCAATAAAGGTTATTAATTAAAAAAAAACTTACGCTTTTGAAGCAAATCTCCAACCACCTTATCGCTATTTAAAATAACACAATTTAATACGCCTATCTTTATCGAGTAAATATCGCTTTTTAATTCTCTAGACCAATTTGTGAACGTCTCATGTGGTTTAGAACCAAGTAAATGACTATGTCCTACGTATTTAAAATATTTTTAAAAAGGTTATATGGATTTATTGAAATTGAAAAAAAAAATTATAAAAGAAAATCTTCCCACCTAAATATAATAAAGATCCCTTTGGTGAAGGAAGAGGTTTAAGTCCTTTAGGAATTGAAGGTTTTTGGGTGAAATAATACCATAAACCGAAGAAAATCGCAACTAGGATATAAGAAATCATTTTTTTTTTTGGCCTATTTTTTTACGATTCGAGATAAATTTAAGTAAAAATTTTGACTTCATATATATAACAAGATTTCAATTATAGTAATAATTTTTTTTTGATCAAAGGTTGCACCCGGTCTGTCGTGCCTTCGGTCAACAAACCTTGTTCATTTAAGAACTTGTACCACTATAACATCAAACCGCCTATCCGTCTCCTGGTTCTATTGTCTGTATGCAATTACTTGCAGATAGGTTCCGACTTTGGGATCTGCTCAGGACATAAACCTTTAATCGGACATGTTACTTATAATTCATAAGTTAAATTTCGAGTCATAACCATTTGGAGGATCGCTCAATCGATTGGAAGTTTTGGCGTCGCTATTTTCCTTTTATTGGTAAGTATAAATCATTCGATTTATTATTTTGGTCTATTACCACTGGACGGAGGTACACAGCATGGTTTTTCGTCCACTCGACGCAAGTTGTATCCAGAATATGAAAAATTGAAAATTGAATGACCCTTGAATTAGCATCGATCGACGGAGGCACATTTTTTTTTTTATTAATGAGACCCATTCATTTGATCGGAACCAATTCACCAACCAAATATAGTAAAACACCGAACAAAATCTATTCCTGAAATTTATTGGAACAACACGGAAACCATCAACTTCTTGACCAAATGTAAGAAAATTCAATCCCAATAAAACTATTTTTCATTGTCCCAAACTAGTTTTACCAATTTCGTCATAGGTGTTTTCATATAACTTTGATATTTTTCAAAAATTAGTTTTAGTAGTGTTTGTTGTACAAAAAATAGTTTAATTTATTTGGCGCAGCGGCTTATCATTGTGATTTATGATAATGATGATCCTTTTTTTTCAAATCGAAGCATTGATATTTATAAACAATTAATGATAAAGGCTGATTTTTAAAACTTATCATATCATTCTTATTAAAGATGGCAGAAATAGAACAATCTTTCATTAAATTTACTTCTCGCAGATCAGTTGTTTTTGGTACTAATGCTATGGTAGCATGTAGGTAAGTAACTTCAATTTGTTGAGTTTTTTGAATAAATTAAAGTAAATTTTTTATTGTATTCGTTAAAGTCAACCCTTGGCATGTCAAGCTGGTTTAGAAATTTTAAAAAAGGGAGGAAATGCCGCGGTAAATAAATCGATTCTATGAAAAAAATTAAATGATAAGAATCAATTAAAGGAAAAATATTTTATTTTATTTTATTTTAAATTTCATATTAGGATGCTGCTGTTGCGACTGGCATGCTTTATCTTATTATGAATAAAATAATTTTTTTTATTTTTTTTTTTATTAACTTTAATTATTATACAGCTGCTGCTTTGAATGTAACAGGTAATTTAATTAATTAATAATGTCTCGTGTGTTAGGTATACTTTATTTATATTTTATGATTAGTCTTTAAGCATAAATATTTTATAATTGAAAGAACCTTCATCGACCGGGATTGGTGGAGATTGTTTTTGTTTATTTTATGAAGCAAGAACAAAGAAGGTACACGGAATGAACGGATCGGGAAGGTAATTAATTCAACATTGAAATTTTATTTTCAATTTATCACATATCTACTTAAATTATTATTAAGATCGCCATCAAAATTAACGCTCGAATATGTTCGAGATAATTTGGGAATCATCGAAAATAACATCCCGTATACAAATATAAATGCCTCAACAATACCTGGGGCTGCAGCCGGGTGGGTTGATTGTGTTGAATGGTTTGGTAGTGGTAAATTATCTCTTGGAGAGATTTTAAGACCCGCGATTGAGTTGGCGGAAAATGGATATCCTGTGTCGGAAATAAGTGCATGGCAGGTAATATATATTTAATTAAGTATAATTTTTAAAAACTTGTGAATTTTTGTTTTTTTTAAAAAAAAAAGAAAAAAATTTGATTTAAAGTGGAAAAATGGAGAAGAAGTTCTTCGAGCCACGTCTTCCGATGGGGGTGATATGTTAATTGATGGTCGAGCTCCGAAAGTTGGCGAAATTATGAATATGCCAAATTTAGCTAGGTAAATGAGTTGGTTTTGTCGCATTAAATTTACAACAATTGATTAAATAAGGTGTTTACCTTGTTAGAACGTTTCGTGAATTAGCGGAAAAAGGGAAAGATGGATTTTATAAAGGTAAGTTTAGTTAAAAATATTTATATAATAATAATTATTATTAATATAATTTTTAATATATTTTATTTCAAGGTCGAATTGCTGAGGCCATTGTGGAATTAGTTCAATCCAAAGGGGGTGTGATGTCTTTGGAAGATTTATCTTCTCACGCAACTACACGCGTTGAACCTATAAGTATTGAATATAAAGGTGTTAGAGTTTGGGAATGTCCTCCTAATGGTCAAGGTAAATGTAACTTTTTATCAATTTTTTTTTTGATTTATGTAATTTACATGATTCCTTTTTTTTAAAAAAATAAATAAAGGTATAACTGCACTTATGACATTAGGGATTTTAGAAATTTTACAAGAACAAGGAAAAATTCCAAACCTGAATTCTCTCGAACACAATTCTACGCAATATATTCATGCATTAATTGAGAGTTTGAGATTAGCATTTGCTGATACTCAATATTACGTCACTGATCCTGAAGTTCATCATGTTCCTGTAAACGAATTGTTGTCAAAGGTGAATGATTTATACACGATAGAATCATTTAGAGTAGTGTTAAATAATATATATATATATATATATTTTTGAAAATGTGTAGGAATATTTAATCAAACGAGCGCGGCTATTTGATGCATCAAAATCTTCGATTGATATACAAAAGGGATCTCCCGTGAATTCAAGCGATACAGTGTATTTTTCTGTTGTTGATCGAGAAGGAAATGCTTGTAGTTTTATTATTTCAAATTATGTTGGATTCGGAACGGTAACTTGAAATACTCAAAAAGATTTTCTAGTGTTTAAAATTTTTTTTTAACTTGTTTTGATGAATTCAAGGGGGCAATACCAAAGGATTGTGGATTTACGTTACAAAGTCGTGGATCGGGTTTTGTATTAGAGAAAGGACACCCTAATTGTCTTGAACCTAATAAAAGGCCATATCATACAATTATTCCATGTATGGTAACAAAAGGAGATGAATTATTATTATCTTACGGAGGTAAGTATTAATATACTTTTTTTTTTTAAAAAAAAAAAAATATTAATGAAAAGGTGACTTTAAACAGTTATGGGAGGGTTTATGCAGGTAGGTTTATTATAATTTTTTCGTTTGAAATACCTTTTAAACTCTTGGTAATCATGTTTGTTTATCAGCCACAAGGACACGTTCAAGTATTATTAAACCTGCTTCATAATAATCTTAATCCACAAACAAGCCTTGATGCACCAAGAATTTGTATTGGCCCAGGTGTTCCAAGTGATCCATCAAATCCATCATATAACACTTCTACAATATTTGCAGAAGAAGGTATTGATCAAAAAGTAATTGATGAATTAAATCAAATGGGACATAAAGTTAGGCTAGTTAAAGGATGGGATAGAGCTTTGTTCGGGAGAGGGCAAATTATTGAAAAGAGGATAGATGAAAAGAGTGGCAAAGTAGTTTGGGCTGGTGGGAGCGATTTTAGGGGTGATGGGATGGTAATTGGTTGGTAGAAGCATCAAAGATTCTATAAATAAATTGCTTGTTCTTGAAAAGTATTAACTATACAAATATTAGGAAAATTCTATATTTGGTAATCTCATTTATAAATTAACAAATAAGAATCTTCTTTTTCCGAATATCATAAATAAATTTCTTTTTTTTTTTATCACAAATAATTTGTTTTAAAGAAAAGAAGCAAAAAAATAAAGTAGGCATATTAAAATTCTGAAAGATTTCATAATTTGAATAAACGTAATACGAAATACCTTATCGTTATATACTGCATATCAAGAATTTTTTTTTTTTTTTTTTTTGGTGAGTGTTAATTAAAATTCTTAATTATTTCTAAATGAACTTGATGGAATAATTTTTTTTTTTTTTTAAAGATTAAATCTAAAGTATCAAGATGTTTGCCATGGTAATATCTCTTTTATTCAGAATTTTTCTGTATCAAATTAGAACATATTTTATTTGCACAATTTGTATATTTATAATAATTTATTATAGTTATAATCTCCTTTATAATTAATGGGGGATTTGCACCCTTATTTCTATTAACTTTTATCAGAATGGTCGTTATTAAATATATATTCGCGAAAAGTTATCAAATAGGGTTGCTTGTAGCACACAATACTTGAATAATAAAATTAAATTAATGTGTATTTTCACGTGAGTTGACGCAGATCGTCAAGTCTTCGTTAAATGAGAAAATTACATTTATAATGATAATTTCTATATCAAAGATAAAGTATGATAAGTAAACTAAAGTATGCGTGGATAGATAAAATGAAAAAGAGGATTTCAGTGGATGATATGCTTTCAATTTATCGATTTTTTAAATACGCGCTATTGAAAGATTTTTTGGCCGTTTGAATGCTAACATAAATAAATAATACTGTATTTGTTTGGCCATTTGAGAAGAAAATCGGTTTCTGAAAATTTTTGACAAAAATTATAATCTTATTGCATTTTGTTTAACATCATCTTCCCAAACGACCAAAAATCTACGAACACTTTTTAAAATAAACCAATAATCATATAATAAAAACAATATGTTCATTAAATAATTCATACGCCCAATTGTTTTAATTAATCTGACGTAATTTAAAATGAAATTAAAATCGAAATGATTTTTAATAATCGAAATGAAATTTTGTGAAACTTTACAAAAAAATAGTTCGATGTGACTTTTTTCTTTTCAATTAGCCACAATTACGCATTTCCACTTTTAAAATCGATTTAAATTTCATAATATCTTTTATATAATGATAATACTTGAGATATTCATATGATATTCCTTTGAAATAAATAAATTGTGGGGGAGTCTTCACTAAAACAAAATTGCTTTATATTGTTCTGATATTGATGTTTGTCATTCCTTTAACTATATAAGTAATAATATATTGAGAACTGGTTTAGGTTACTCCTTCAATTAATATAGTTATTTTAAATAAATGGGTCCAAGCACCAAATATATTTTGCGTTTAAAATAAAGGTTTATTCTATATTTTTGATTTAAAAAATGATTTCTTATATCTTTCTTGCGATTTTCTTCGGTTTATGGTATTACTTTACCAAGAGACCCTCGGTTCCTAAAGGACTTATCCCTCTTCCTTCACCTAAGGGGGCCGAATTTTATTTTGGTAGATTTTTTCATAAATTTTCATTAAGTACCTAAATTTTTTATTATCATTGGAATTGAAGGATGAAAATTTTTTAATGTATAGGTCATTACAGATTACTTGGTTCCAAACCACATGAAACGTAAGATTATTTTTATACAAAAGAAATTCGTTATCATTATCGCAATCATTATAATTATTATACAATAATAATAAATCCTTTAGTCTTACAAAATGGGCTAAAGAATTAAATAGCGAAATATACTCGATAAAGATGGGCAGATTAAATTTTGTTATCTTAAATAGTGATAAAGTTGTTGGAGAATTACTTCAAAAACGTAAGTCAAATAATAACCTTTAGAGAACATGCGATCGATATCTTTTAAAATTGTCTTCCCTTTTTTCACTTAGGAGGAGCAATTTACTCGTCAAGAATGGATTCGGAATATTATCATCATATAATAACAAGAGGATCTAACCTTGGCAGCTGTCCATATAACGATTACTATAAGAAAATGAAAGCAATAAGTAAATGATTGAAAATTTCGTGTTTTTTTTTTTTTTTTGTAAAGGACAATCTTTTTACTTTATTATCGCAAAACAAATAGGTGCCGGGAACCTTTCACCGTCAAAGATCGAATTATATAGTCCCTTAATAGATAAAGTGACAAAAGAAACGTTAAAAGATTTAATTCATGGCTCAACTTCCTCATCAAATTCTGAACCAGTAAACCCACGTTTATACCTTCGTCGTACATCTCTAAATATAATTTTAAATGTAGTTTTTGGAACTCATGCTACAAGTATTGATGACCCATTATTCAAAAGAATCGATAAATTCTTGGATGATCTTACAATGATCTACTCAAATGCAAATAGGAAATTGGAATATTTCCCGATAATAAAATATCATCCAAAGAATAAAACGAAACAGGTGCATATAATTTTTTTTTAATATATTTGTCATAGAATTATGAATAATATTTTATATTAATTTACAGGATGCGATATCTGTTAGAGATGATCTTGATTCGATTTTTGGTGAACTTCTGGATAATATTAAATCTGGAAAAAATAACAATCCATGTGCTGCGAAAGAAGTTTATGAACAAGGAGAATTAGAAGATTATCAAATTGTTCACCTTTTTGGAGGCCTCGTTTTTGCCGGATCGGTAATTATCTAATTCTTAAATTTGTTTATTTTTTTGTCAAAAAAAAAAATTCACTTTTTTTATTTTTTAGGATACAGTAGCATCAAGTATAACATGGTTATTGGCGTTCTTGGCTAATAATCCCTCGTTCCAAGAACCAGCTCACAAAGAACTTGACGCTCTCATTCCTGACCATGATCGACTCCCAACTCCTGCTGATTCTAAAAGTCTCCCTTATCTTCGAGCATTGATCCGAGAAGGCCAAAGGGTATTTCCACCAACTTGGACTGGAGTTCATCATTGCGTTCAACAAGATGATGAATATAATGGTTATTATATTCCGGAAAACTCTCTAATTCTTATCAATGCTCATGCAATTGGATTTGATGAACAACGTCATAAAAATGCTATGGAATTTGATCCGTATAGGTATATTAATTTTGAGCAAAGTATGGCAAGTTTTGCCAATGGACCTGTTGAAAAAAGGGACCATTTTAGTTTTGGAGCTGGAAGAAGACTATGTGTTGGAATTCATTTGGTAAATTATTTTTAATTTACGTAAATTTTCCAATTTTTTTTTTTTAATGATTTTTATTTTTAATTTTTTAGGCTGAATATGAATTATTTACTATCTTGTCACGAATTCTTTATTGCTTTAATATTGTAAATGCTTCACCTACTAATGAAGATGGAAAACCTATCCCAATTGATTTGAATAATGGTACATATGGTTTAACTAGTTGGCCAATAGATTATCATGTTAGGTTTGTTCCTAGATACGACGGGATTACACGACTTTTAAATGAATGAATTACATTCTTTTTTTCTTGCATTAACATGAACTTTACAATGTTAAATAATAATCATACTTCTTATTAACGATAATAAAGTGAACTTACAACAAAGAATATTGTAACTTAAACGAATATATATATATATTTTTATTAACATATATATCACTTATCATATATATTATCAGCTAATACTAATAAATTATAAATTTTTTTTATCTATTCACAAATTTATGATTTTTCCGTCAAAAATATTTTATTCTATTGATTGAAAAAAAAAGAATTAAATAATAAATTTTCTATAACTCTAATCTTATATGTAAATATATTTTTTTTCGTAAGTCAGATTAAATTAATTAAATACTTTTTCTAGATATAATATAACTTTCTTTAAATAATGTCAAAATATTCAAATTTTTATCATGGCAACAGCCATAATTTCTTCAATCCATTCAATATTTCTTGTATCAAGAATTCTCTTCATGGCATCAGAATTTCTAATCTTGGAATAATTGGAGGAAACAAAATCCAAACCACAGGTTTTTAGAATCAAATCATCATGGTCCCAGCCAAATAATAAAATTTGTTCCCAATTATCAAAAGATATTAATTGCACCAATCTCATTTTAGCTAATTTTTGTAATGTAATTAAACCGATCATATCACTATTGATATAAATTTCTTTTAATAATTCTATATCATCATTATTTACTAATTTATGAGTGTAAATATAATAAAGTATGGATTTAAAAGTTTCATATTTCCAATTATGTAATTTAATGATTTTGGCTGTGCCTTCTATCCAACCACCTTGTAACATTTTATCAAAATAAGCACTTCCACTTGCTAATACGATCTTGTGAGCTTTAATTACCCTCCCACAATCTAGGATGAACCCAACATCCGCGAAGGCACCATTTTCAAAGAATTTTTCATTTTGATTTATATTTATAGATTCCTCCATTAAAGGTTCTTCACAGGTGATAAAATGTACGTTAAATATCAAATCGATATCTCGTGATTTGTTCCCATCAGGGAACAATTGATTGATTGGACATAGTCGACGATAACCTAGATCGGATTCATCATTATCGAATTCAAATTTATGTTCTAAAATTGTATGATTTGTGTCCGAATCGATCAAGATATTCTTGCGTGGATTTTTATTTAAATCGGCCATCTCTAAAAATAATTTGAATTTCGCCGGACGAACTTTTATGTTATGTCGTTTCTCATAAGGGGTTTGTAATGCTTCCAGGTAAACGGATATGTGATCATATGTATCATTACCATTGGGGAAAACCTTAAGTCTCCACTGAGAAATGTGTGGTGAATTTTCATAATTCGCTGTATTCGCGTATGTGGATTGAAGTTGTGGGATTGTGAACCTCGGGCTATAGAATATGTCTCCCGAACCGCAATTTTTAATGTATTGTTGAAATGATGAAACCTTCCAACTAAAGGTACCCATTGGAAGATTTCTCTGCAATTGAGAGTAATATGTTGAACGGGACAATCCGGTATTTTCAGGCATTAAATATCGGAGTGGATTTAATGATGTCAAATAGCTTGTAAACTGTAAAATGAAAGTGGTACCCCCCATCATCTTATTATTAACAATCCAAAAATCGCATTGTACATTAAACGATTACTTATTTATACTCACCATTTAAATATATTATAAAACACTGTTTAGGAAAATAGGAAGGAATTTAAAATTACAGCTGAATGATTGATTTGATATTCTCTTTTTTTTTAAATAATTTTTTTTTTTGTTTTTGATGTATAAAAAGAGGGAAAGAATTTTCGTTTTTAAGAATTTTCGTTTTTGAGAAATAACAATTTATTACCAAATTATTTTTAAGTCATTCGATTATATATATGTGTTTTTGAACGTTTCACACATTCTGAAACCTTTCTATATAAAGGTCGTCGATCGAAACAAATAAAAAATAAAATAGAACTGTCAAAACCATCATTATATATATCAAGCACTAATAAAAAAAATTATGTTAATCACGGAGACCTACAAATAATTTGAAACAAATTACGCTCATTCGATTCTTGAAAATTTTCATCGTTTAAACAGATATTCACGAGCGTGAATGTGAAAATTGCATGAATAAAATTTCTATCTATCATTCGATCTGCGAAAGGTACAGTAAATCACTTTTATTATGCTTAACATGAGACATTATCAATAAAAAATAATGTTCAAAAAAAAAAAAAAAAAAATAGATTCCTAACAGAAAACAGAATTTCTTTGTTTGCATCAATGATCATTAAAAAAAGTCTATTGAATTATCATCGAAGGTTTTTGCTTATTTTGTTGATTTTCCCCTGTATTAACAAACTCTATTGGGTTCGAACGAATCAATTGAGGAGGCGCAGCATTACACTTATATGATATCAACAAAGAATTGTTCTTTTGTTTTTTAATCTTTCCTTTATAATCGTTATTCATTATCGTTGATTTCAAAATCGTGCAGTCACTATTTTTGGAAAAATTAAAACAAAAACAATGAATTCATTGTTGAGTTTTGAGTGTAACCACATGACACGACCACAACTTAATTCGACATGGTCGGCAACATTGTCTAAATCTTTTGCTGGCGTTCGTAGTGTTTATAAATAAGTTCATCATTACCATCAGGTGATTTTTCGTAATTTTGAACCTTCTCCACAATTTTTAACTCCAATCAGTTATTAAGGATGACCATACTCATTTACTGGACATTTTTAATTTTTTGCCATGTTTAGAAAATGAAAATGAAAATAATATTGTTCGTTTTGTTGATTTGTGTTACGTGAGCTGGGATTTTCAATTAAACTACATATGTGCATGGGTAACACGAGGGATTTATCTTGAAAATTTTAATCTTCCGCAGTTAATTAGATTCACGAGCTTTTAATGTGAAAGTTGCATGAATTGAATTATATGATCTATCATTCGATCTGCGTAAGGCACGGTAAATCACTCTCGGATATGAATGGATTAATTTAATTTAATTTGAATTGTTTGCTTTCGCAATAAAGTTTGCTTGTTTGTTATTACTAAACAACTTTGCTAGTGTTAAAGTAGATAACAATGGCATTTTTTATTATAACCTTATCGGTTATAATGCAATCCTTAATTTATAATGAATTCTTTGGAGGGAAACACGAGTGGCGCAGCATATATGCTCATGCATACATTGATAATAATGAATTTGTCCCATTTCTCTCGTCATCAAATTTCAAACGAAAAAATCCATGATTTAAACCTTTACCATATTCGTGAACAATTGATGTCAAAAAATTCACGTTACTAAATCATGTTAATGTATCCAAAATTGGGTTAATTAAATTACAGAATCTATATATACAAAAAAAAATTGATTATTTTAATATTTTAATCTCCTTTCTCAACAAAGGATTTGGTTAATAAGGAAGCATGCTAAAGCAAAGGAATTTATGATGTAACGAAAAACAAAGTTCATAGATATGTTTCAAGAGAAGATAACAAATCTGACCTTTTATATATTCTTTTGGCGAATTCCGTATTAAAAGAAAAAGGTTATAAATTATATATATGTAAAAAAATATACAACTTATTTATTCCTTTCACCTGATGAGTTTTATTAAGAATTATATATGTACAAATTAAGATGAATTAATATTTCAGCGTTACAAACCATAATTATTGGCACTGGCGTTGTTAGTTAAAGATCAATTCAGCACGGGCAATTGGCCTTTTTCCAAACAAATAATTAATGATAGTATTGGTCTTAATATTACAACTTAAAAAACCAATGAATGGATCCAAGAGTTGAATCGAACAGAGAAAAAGTTGCGAATTATCATCGTTCTTTAACCCCCTTTTTCAATCTCTCCTGTCATAACGTTACAATTATTAATATTTACTTAATTTTTCACAATTAACTGCGTAGAAACAATGATTTGTCAAACTGTAATAACATTTATAACCAAAAAACCGATTTCTAAATTGAGAATTTTATACTAGATGTCAATTCGTGAAATGAACTTATATAACATTAATATAAAAGAGCTTTAATGTAAGCAAATCGGTAAACTTATCAAAAAAAAAACTGAATGATATAACGATGCATTTATTAATAATATTTTCTTCAATATATATATATATATATCGTAATTTATAATTTATTAATACAATATTATAATTTATATTATAATAACAATAAAATACTAACTATTATATATCTTAAAAAAAAAAGGTTCCGTAATGCATTTTATTGCGGAATGGGATAATCGTATTATATGAACCTTGTCATAAGTTTTTTTTTCAACGTTATACCTAGCAATTAAAGTTGAAATTTATTCCTTTGGGTATTTGAATAATGAAGTTTGCGCAAAATCATCACTTAAAATTATATATTATTCAAATTTAAAATATGATTAATAATAACTATCACAGATATTTTTTTTTGAATGCCCAAATTAGGTGCCGAATTCGATGCAATGTTATTTTATGCTGGCGCAGGATGTATATTAATGCATATTGTCTTTGCGTAGCTATGCGGATAAATGAACGCGGTATTTTGTGAAGAAAAAGCTGAAATTCGAATCAAAAAAAAATTGCGAAACTTTAGTGTTTTATTGTTAATTATTTTATTTAGAAATGATTTTGTTTGTTCATTTTTATTCTGTTAAAAAGTTCATAATTGAAAATTATTCGTGATATTAAAACCTTTTTCAAATTTTTTTTTTTAAAAAAAAAAAATATCCCCATATTTTGGGATTTACGATCTCGAAACATTTAAATCGGAGTAGGGTTTTGTTACACCGTATTCATATAAATAAATAAGCGACATCTACTGAATAATAAAGTTTTGTTCGATGTCGTGCAACAATTTTTTTTTTTTCAAAAAAATAACAAACATGTGATTTGTTCGTTTCACAAAAAAAAAAGTTGTTTTATCGTCAAACATAAAGCATATATCTAATTTTTCTTTCTTCTTTTTTTTCAAATTCCTTTTTTTTTCTTTCCCTTATTATTAATGCTAGTTTGTAAAAATAAATGACACCAACTAAAATATTAAAGGACCTATCGGTTGATCTCACCTTTTCTCTTCCTCCCAATAATGCGCCAACAAGGATTACAATTAAAATTAAAAAAGACCAGTTATTGATGGATGTTGTTAGACGTTTTATGAGCGCATATAATGTTCCATGCTATCTAGAGAACTCCATTCTTTCAACCATTGAATCACTAATGGTCGAAAGTTGGCGTAAAGACGCGGAAAGAGATTCAAAAAGTATTTAATACAAACTTTTTTTTTCCTTTTATTGAACTGCTTAATTGAATTATTGTTGATTGATTTATTTAGTTCAAGATGAACTAGATGCAACAAAGGTTCGTAAGAATCTTATATCCAAGTATAAAAAATACACAATAAGATATAACGATTCTCCCGCAGAGGTATTTTTTTTTTTTTTTAGCGAATACTTAATTTTTTCTTGTTTTTTGTCTTTCTTTGTTAATCTGTTTTTTTTTCTTTTATTCATATTAGAATATTTTCCCTAAAGCATACCATACACTTGTTCATTCTCCTGTACCATCATTATTCGACACACTTTTACAATTAGAACAATGTTATAAGGAAGTAATCAAAGATTTAGTATCCTCCAAAGAAAAAGAGTTAGGAGGTATAAGGGAAAGGTAAATTTCAACGTTAATTGTATTTCTTTTTTATTTCAATTTATTAATCATATTTTTCACCTACTCATAAGACATCAGAAAGAAATGGAACCTAGCCAAACTAGTGGGATCGTAAATTTTTTAATGGAAAAACATCGCGAGGTAAAAATCGCAATTTTCGTTACTTTGCTTGTTTGCGTACTCGAGTTTAATTATTACTGTTATTATTACAAATATATTCATTAGGATGTTGAATATAATCAAGCCACTCTGGTCAGTGAACTTGAAGATATTAAGAGATTACAGAGAAGAGAATATTGCGAATTTGTGGTTAAACTTTATCAAGCACACCAACGATGGTTAACGGCAAATCAATCAACAACTGATCCAAATTGGGTATTCCAATTGGATGTAAAAGAGATTGTTGATGAAGTTATAGATGATATGAAGAAACGTCACAAAGGGCTGTCTAAACAAATATTGCGGTTGGTTCAAGGAAGTGGAACTCGTAGTCGTCATGGAAGCATTAGTTCTTTATCGGATATCATATTATCGCCAACTTTGATGTCACCAACATCTCCATCGTTCAATGAAGATAAGAAACCGGCCTATTTTAATGTGTGAAAATATTCAGATTATATATGACTGTGGTATAGAAAAGATAATATATACTTTTTTAAGAAAATCTATTTCATCTAGTAACTTGAATTTTATTAATTGTTGAGATAGGAGGATGATCTTCGAGTATTAAAGGTTCAAGAAATGGGATTTAATCAGGAGCAAGCTATAGTCGCTTTAGAGATGACAAAAGGAAATATGGTGATTACAAATTTTATTTATATTAATCTAATTAATCATAACTAATGAATAAAATATATTATTCAGGAACATGCGGTGAGTCTTTTGGTAGAACAACCAGATAAAATAAACAGTCAAATAGCGAACGCTTCATCTACTCTACCTCGACGTCCTTCCATACCTTTTGTGAGCTCACCTTTGAAAGAACAACCGGAAAGTATTGGCAAACGATCAAAATCTCAACGAAAGTTGGGATTGACGGTTCTTACCAAACAGGAAAAGAAAAATACCTGGTCACCGATAAACTTTTTTCAGCAAAAACATCAAATGTTGGGTTCGCCAAATACTTCAACATCTTCAGTAAGAAAATTCAGTGGATGGCTAGGTAGAAAGAATCTTGAAGGAGATGGGAACGGGTTGGAATATTTTTATATCAATTGTTCTATACCATGTTCCATTGCAATATATGGAAAGATATGCTGGCCAATAATCCATGTTGATCCATTTTTTTCGTTTCATCATCACCATCATCACAATTATAATCAAAAAAGCCATGGTCCAAATTTACAATTAGATAATCCTCATCTTGTCGAGTCATTTACAATTTCCCTTGGAAATCAAGTGAAATCAACCCATAATCTTCGACTTTTGGTATCTGAAACCGAAGACCTGCTTAATTCATCCAATGACATTGCTCGTGATATGGCGTATAGAGCCCAAACGGCTGCTAATTTATATTCTCAAAACTTAACGGCAATCATTTTACTATTAACGCCAAATGATTGGCCAAATTATAAATTCGGAAGAAGTGCTAATAAAGGTAAAATATTTGCAAAGAAAATTTTCTTAAAAAGGATTTCTTTAAATTTTAATTGATTTTTAATCTTTTATACAGCATTTTTTGAGAGATGTAAGGAATCTACAGATTTTCATTTTGAAGACGTAGAATCACAATTTGACGCGATTGAAAAAGATTTTACAACCTCAAACTCCGTTATACATGAAGGCAAGAAATTTTATTTCGAGAAAAAAAAATATATATATATTATGATTTATAATATTAAGATTAATAATATTTAATTAAATTAATATTCTATTATCTATAGGAGACTTTTTTATTACAAGACATTCAAATTTACCTTTAGTTCATGTTGTATTTCATTTGGTGATTGAATCTGAATGTAAGCTGTTCCTTTAATTGTTTCTTATAAAGGGGATGTTAATAATAATAAAAAAATTTTTCTATTCTTAGCAATTCAAAAATCAGAACTTACACCAAGATCAAATGCAATAAGTGGGTTGCGTAACATATTAAGAACAATTGATAGGTTTGACATAACAAGCATTTCGTTGCCAATTTTATTATTACCATTACATGTTGATGTATTTACGGCAACAGATCAAGCTGATGAAAGTTTACTTATAAGAAGAGGAGAAGTTGTTTTAAAGTGTACTAAAGGATCTATGATGAACAATTCAAGGGTACCAAAGCATGTAACAGAAAAAGAACAAGAAACCAAAACCGTTACATTTTTATTAAGTAAAAATGTTTCGGAACAACAATTTAATAATTTTAGACAATTATTAACTGAACTTTTTAGAGCAAGTTAATTAATTAGTGTGTAAAAAAAATATGGGTGGATAATTTTGGAAGAGTAAAGATAAACCCGTTTTAAATATAGCATAAAATGAACTATTTTATTTATAATAATTTCTTTTTTCATTAATTGTATTTAATCATATTATTTATAAAAGATATGTACTTTATGTATAATTTCTAAATAAATACTTGAGAAAATAATATTTACTTATAATTAATTCTATTAATAAGAGAAATTACAATAAAGTTATATGATTTAAGTTGCCTAATTGTTATAAAAAATTCAAATACTTTAATTTCATTCATCACTATTTGACTAAGGTTCTTAATTCATTTAAATCCTAATTCACTAATAAAATTAATATATTTATCTAATATTTAAAATTTCTTAAGCTTTTTATTTCTTTTTTAAATATTATATAACTTAAATTTTTCTCATCTATTCATAATGTTTTAAGAAAATACAATTTAAATAAGTATATTTACTATATTTTAGATATCATTATTTTATATATATTATATTATTTGTTTAATAATAGTTTTTGTTATTATTTTTTTAAGAATTATTTATTATTTTATTATATTAAAATATTTATAAACCTATTTTGATAAGCAATTTATATTAAAATAAAGATTATAAAAATAATATAATATAAATAAGGTAAATGAATTTAAAAATTAATTTAATTAAACATTGAATAAAAATTGTTGTTTAACTAATTTATCTTGATTTATAGCAGGAAGTAAAGGGTAGGCTAATTTAACTATTCTCTTTAAGTTAGCAAAGAATCAGCCTAAAGGATCATTTTCTTGAACAAGATTTTGGAACTTAACTTTAGATTTTTTCAGCAATAATCCATGTAAAAATGTATGTATCTTCTGTTCAACAAATATTCTAGAAGCTATAACATTACCACCTGTATTAATATTTAATGTATTTGGAGTTAAAAATGTTAGGTAACTACCTGATATACTGTAATCCAGACTTTTTTTCAAACAATATATCCTAATACTAATAAATTGGTAATTGCATTATTATTAGCTAGTATAGTCTTTCTTATATGAAGAGCTCCACCTTAGAACTAATTAACATTAATAATATGCAATGTATTATTCTTAGCTAGACTATTAATGACACTAATATTTGCAAAACCAGTATTATTGCTAATATTTTACAATTTCTAATTTCTTCCTTTTATCTTAATTTCATACCAATCTTTTGCATAATTTAGTAAACCTGATTTAAAAAGTCTATCAATACGAATTCAGTATTGATGATTTGCATTTGGATCATAATTAGAGAAAGCTTCATACCATTAACACAAATCTCTTATATAATCTGCTGGATTTTTACCAGCTAAACCATGAAATTTTGAAGGTACTGTTACCCAACTAATGATTAGGCAGACCGAAACACATAATCAATTGAGTAGCAGCAAGATTTAGCTCAATCTTTATTAAGTTTTGGAGAGACTTCAGTTATTTCGGACTATTGTTAACTTCAGTATTCTTTCATGACTAAGTTTCAGAACTGGCAAGTATAATGATTTCCAATCCACTTCAAGCAACTCATAATTTCTTAAGAAGTTAAGAGATTACCTTGATGACTTTATAATAAGTTATTATAACCAAGTAATGACGTACAACTTAAAGTATTTACAATATCAAATACTTTAACTCGTTGATGACTTTAACACAGTTGATAACATTTAAGTAATCTAAGAATTTACTTAAACTAGGATTGACACTAAGCAGGATTGATGACATTAAGTAATTTACAATTACTTAACCAAGTTTTGATACAAAGCAATTAATAATGTTAAGTAATTCAATTATTACTTAACCAAGGGTTGACACAAAGCAGGTTTTGACACAAAGTAATTTGTTAAGAGACAATTTAGCAAAGAGTTTTTATTATCTTGTAAAATTAACTTTCTAAATTTCTATCGATACATGATGAAAAACTCAGCTTATTTATAATAAAATTTCTACACTAAATTGCTATCTATTGCATAAAAACTATATAATGATTCCCTCATCTTCTCTATATAATATTATTGTAATAACTGAGTAATGACTACCTAATCGCTATACAATAGTCCTTTAACTATGATATACAGTATATATATATATAAAGAGATGTAGAGAATATAATTATATTATTTTTAAACTATTACTACATTCTTATACTTAGCCTTTGACTAGTTTCTCCTTGAAGTTCCTAATTGGAGTTTCTAGTTTAGAAGGTTATGCGTGTCATCATGGGCTAATGATCTATTACTTCATTTCTTCATTAATTGATTTGGTTAATTTCGCAGATCATCTTTTGCCGACTATTGTGTCATTGATTCTTGCAGATCAATTCACATGATAATCATTTGCAGATCACTTTACTGCATCACATTTTCAATTTCTTGAAGATCATTTGGGTTACAATAGATATTCTACCATACTTATATGTTATATATTAGGTAGATTATTCTGAAATGCCAAAGTTGTCACTGCAAATTTAATATATTCTGGTATCTTTGCCTAATCACTAGATGGAAAACAAATTTTTCACATAGCAATTCACTAATGCAGAGTTTTCTTACTATAATAACTAATATTCTATTTATCTAATTTTGAGTATTGGTTTGCAACTGTCAAGTATTTTGAAGGTGGTTGACATTTTGCTGATACAATAGCTATTTAGCAAATTTTTCTTATAATAATTCTTAGATATGCTTATCTTTATCTCAATATGAAAAATATCAATAGCAGAATTCTTTTTTCTCATTGTTATCCCTTATACTATAGAGCAGGCAAATTTGCCTGCAAAATTAAAAAAAAGTGTTAATTTCTTAATAAAATATTAAATATTAATTTTATTAATATCATTATTATATAAAAAATATAATTTAATATATATTTTATTAACTTTATTAATAAAGATTTTAAGTTTTTTAAAAGATTTTTAAAATAATCTAATTTTAA